CTTAAATATTTTATAGTTGTTTCCCACTGAAAAATGTTTGAGCACTAAACTTGTTAAGGCAAATGGATTATTTTCCCTGTGTCCTGATTCAGATTAGGAAAAAAGAAATAGATTTTTTTAAATGGATTCCGTCATAAAATCACCACACCAAAATGTGGATTTTGATTGTAGTGTTGTCTATTTTTGTAAATTCTTTCCATGAAAATAAAAAAACAACAACAAAACATAATTTAAAGATCCCTTTTTGTTGGTGTACTTTTGGAAGTAAAAATACTGAAAATGTTAATGAAAAAGGCAACACTCTTGCAGTTACAGAATTCTACTCTGGAATGTGATCTACCCTTCGTAAACATGCCTAACACACTTCAGCATTAATAAGAATTACACAGAAATATTCAGGGCTATAGCAGACCCAACAAAGGATCTCTCCTGATTAGATAGTATGAAAGCCACCCCAAACTGATTTCACATTTCATGGCATTATGGGAGATATAGCTATCTGAACGTTATGGACCAGATCCTCAGCTGGTGTAAATCTAAGCAGCTCCATTAACTTCGATTGAGCAATGTTTATTTACATTGTACTATTTGAGACTCTGATCCAAGATATATTTTTTTTCCTTTTGTCAGGCCCAAATGTAACATGTTTATTAACTCAAAATGAACATTAGCTGACTATATCTATGTCTTACATTTGTCCGCACACAACATTCTTTCTCACTCCAAAACCTTAGCTAATGTTAACTTATGTAGATACAACTATATGAGAATCTAATTTTAATTTGTTTCCCTGAAAAAAATTGGTATAGTTCTAATTGCATTTTTTTTCATTCCATTGCTCCAAGACAAACAGGAAAGGATGAATTTTCATTGAGTAATAGAGATTCTTTGCATTCATAAAGTGGGTTAGATGTGAGCATTTGCTGGAATCCTGTGAACCTCCTGTTAATATTTATAACACACTACACATTGTTTATATAACAGAAGGTTAATTTTAAAGTTCCACCACAAAGTTAACACTACACCATGTCATATAAATTCAATATATTACTGACTTGTCCCCAGTTTTTTTATTATACACATACATGTCCGTGACCTACTTTAATTATTATTAATAATAATAAACAGAAGTTTTTTCATGTAATCCTATAACTAAAAATACCAGAGGCCTGCTGCTGTGAGAAAATGAGTGCCTTCAACTCACAGTGCGCTGATAAAAGATGAAAGTACTCAGCACCTCACAGGATTGGAGTTACAACTGTCAGGGCAAAGCGATTTAGAGACTTTTAGTTCTCATTTCCAGAGCTTCACAATGACTGTTACATTGACTGTTAAATCCACTCTAGCATGCAAGCCTCAGACAAGTGTACCAGAACTCTTAATTAAAGGGCTTCATTTTTGCCACAAAAAGAGCTAGAGTGTAATGGCATCTTTTGTCCCGTGGTTAATGAAGGATGATATATTGTTTAAATAATTAGCAACACTGCTGGGATAGAATGTAAGTAATTAGCATAGCTTGACACCCAGAGCTACATATCAAAAACCAACTAGTTGCTTTTGTTAGCATCAACACTATGTTGATTTAAAAAAAACTCCACTGAAAGAAAATGTCACTTAAGGTATGGTGTGTTTTGGTTTTTTAAGGAAACTGTTATCATTAGAAATTTATGAATGAGTCCAGCGATTTTACAGAATAATAGATGTTCATTTTTTCAAAAATCTTCGTATCACCAAAAATCTTTTCATTTAAATAACAGTATTTTCACAATCAGTGTTATCCATTTTTTAGCTGACATTTTAGTTTATTAATTTTAACATTGAGCTTATTAGCTTCTACACGTCCATGTGGATGAAAGTCACCATATAAACTCAAGACCAAGATCCTTCCACTCTTAGTAGCAGTAGTGTAGCTAGACTGACTTTGTATCTATCTCAAAGGTCAATATTACCCTTAATGAAGGAGACAACCAGAATTCAAGAGTGGATTTGGAACTCTTGCTTGTCTGACAGACAGCAGAGGCCAGATCTTCAGCTGATGCAAACCCACATCACTCAGTTTATTTCAATGGAATGATGCCGATCTACATGCTATAGATCTCGCTCTAGGATTTTAGCACATAAAATATTCTCAGCCTCTGGGAGAAAAGGGTAGGGAGAGAAAGGCTAGGGCATGGTTTTCAAATAGCCTTGCTGATGGCTAAAGAATGGAACTTTGATCTTGAAAGAAACTACCTGGCCTACTACCCTTCTACCCAGAGTGTAGTGCAGCACATGGAGGGAAGGATTATATGAGGAGAATGGTAGCTCATGATGAAGTGGGTAACAAATGGCCTTCAGACAGGCTTGTTGTTATTTGAAAGAACTATCTGTGGGAAGAGATCAACCACCTGGCAGGATTGCTGGGGCCAAGGAAACACATATTTGGATATCTTGCTACCTTGGACACAAAATGCCAAAACACTGTAATACAATATGTAAAGAGAATTTTAGCTAAATAATTTTAGTAGGAATTTAAACAATCATTTGCATTGTCATTAAAGTGGAATGGCATCATTTGACAATCATCTACTCTACCCACTGCATTCATGTTCACAACCAGAGCTAGCAGAAAACCTAAGTACAGTACAAACTAGCCTGGCTTTAAATTTAATTTTCCAAGCTATTGGTGATATTAACTCAAAGCTATAAAGAAAAGAGTCAACTGTTTTAAAAATGCTATATTTAGGCTTACTACATCTAAATAAATCAAAATGTGAGATATTTCCTAATTGCTTATATTGAGACACCAAAAAATATACTTACGAATATATACGAATATTTAATTATGGCAGGTATTTCACATTAAATAGTGCATTCCTACCAATATAAATCAATGAACAATAGCGATGTAACAGTTCTAATTCATCTACCGAATTGTAACATTTCATTAAGCCGATTATTGGGTTTTTATATCCACATTCTATAATACTAAAGTAAACTATTATCAATCATGACAAAAAATCTTATATTTATCAAAGAATAAAATTGTGTAATATATGTAAAAATAACTATACTTCATTATTAAACAAGAAATCCTTTAAGATTTAAAAGGAAGCTGTCAGTTTCAGCCAGATTTTCTTCCTATTACTATTCACTGTTTTAATATAAGACGACGTGTGTGTGTGTGTGTGTGCGCACATATATAAACATAAAGGCACACACACAATGTGTGTTATTAGTATATATTTTGAGATAAGACTTCTAGTTAAATTCAACCTATTCTGTTAATTTTTTGCCATTGAAACCATTGTATGCAGAAGAAGAATGCTCTTTTTACCTTCATACTCATGATCTCTCAGTTGTAGTCTTCCTTCAAAACAATCAAAGCTGCATTTCCCTAAGGAATGGGGGTGGGGGTTCCTGAGGTTCGTTCGTTCTTATTCTGCTCTGCAGCAGCATGCAAATCTGGTAACTAAAAGATCCTGGGCTCAAAGAGGTATAATACTTCTCTACTTAGTTACTACTACCTGAGTTGGAGCTTTGTTTAAATTAATTCCATGCTGAAACTGGAGAACATCCAGAGAATGTGTGTTAGCAATACCAATACTATACTGAAGACATTCTGCAACGGAACACAGGACTGTCAGAACAGCATTGTTACCTGATAGGATAGATGTGGAAGGGGTAGGGAGGGGGAGAAAAAAATCACATAACCAAGGGAATGTCACAGGTAGCTCTGAAACAATTTCATTTTTGTTTTCATTTCTATGTCTTATATAAGTGTGGGTGAATGTTGTTGCTGGGGGAGTCCTGAAGACAGCTCTTAAATGCTTCCCCTGCTTAGCGTGATGCAGAGGGATTTCCAGTTGTAAGCAACTGCGTTAAAAATAATTGTCATCAGAATATTCAAAGAATGTCTGAAATTTCAATGTCCATGTATATGTATATACACACACCTATATGTACAGCGGTCAACGTTAAAAACTTACCAGTCACTATAGATAATGCTTTAAATAAATGAACAAGTTTACTTCAATATTTGTAGTATGCTTGGTATTCCCTATGGTAAGTATAGGGAAGTTTAGACAATACTGAGGTAACTTTATCTACAGCAAATTAATTGACACCTTTTCAAGAACAGATATGTGTGTGTACATACATATTACATATTATATATTAATTACAGACTGCACTCCTACCCATACCAACCACTCTTCAGAGGTGAGAAAACATATTTCCCCATCATGCAACTAAGCTTCTTGTCACACCCTGCTTGCTGGGCTACAAGGAGTGAGTAGGTAAAACTAACCTTTAATTTGTCATAGCGCTCACTCAAAGCTGCCACCTGATGATCACGATGCCGTCCAACCAGTTTACACAAGGCACAGATTAACTGGTCATCAGTCACGCAGTACATGTTAACTTTCTCGTCCTCATGCTCCAGACACATTAATCCTCGGATGTGAGAGTCTGGAATAGGCTCTATCAAACGGTGGCCTGTGAATGGCTTCTTGTTCGGGTGAGTCGCTTTGAGGCACTCCTCGCAGTAGGACACCTCGCAAGTGACACAGGTCTTCACTGCTTCCTGGGCAGGGTCCTGGTCACAGAACTGGCAGAGAACTTTTTCACTGGATGACATGCTGTTGCTATCAAATGCCCGCTCTCGGCGGGTTTCGCTAGGAGAATTGGGCCCACTCACTGACGCTTTCTGAAACCTGTCGATAATATTCTGCAGGGTGACGTTGCGCTTCAGTCCGTCTAGACCACGTTGATTGAGAGTGATGACATAACGACAAGTAGGGCACTGGAAGGCAGTGATGGATTCCACTGATTCGTTGGTGGCACAGTGGGAGACCAATATGCGATGCGCACAGTTGAAACAGAGGCTGTGAGCACAAGGCAGCAGCAGTGGGTCCTCAAACAGCTCCAGACAGATAGGGCAGGTCAATTCCGACTCCAGTGTTTCCATCTTCAGGCAAAGCTTTCCTGTGTCGTCAGCGAAATCCAGGGAAGCTGATCGGCTATCTGGAAACATAACGCAAAATTCGATTAGGCGAGAGAGAGCAAGAGGGGTCAGCCACGGGGGGTTGTCAACTTTCGCCACTGGTACTATCAAGCCACCACGGCAGACGGAAGAGCTATCTAAAGTTTTGAATCTGCATAGGCACACGTCAAGGTATTTAAAATTGTACTATTTTGTATTTAAAAAACAAAAGCAATTTAAAAAAACCATAGCAATTGTACTGTTTTGTATTTAAAAAACGAAACAAAAAAACAAAACCCTTGTCGGTTTTTCTATCTTTAACATGAGATTGAGGGCAACAGCAGATGTTTTCTGGTGCTTTTGAATTATTAAAAGCCAAAATTAAGACCTTCAAACAGCAGAACAACATATCACAGTAAAAACAGATTCCTGCTGCAGAAGCAGCTTTCTGCTTTGCTAACCTGCTGGCAATTTTTTTTTTATTTCTGTTTTGAAGAGTAGCAGAGCAAGGATTAAGCCACAGTGTTATAATAGATAACCTAAAAGCTCCTTGTTGCTTCTGTACTTCACATTGTGGCATTGTCTCATATTACACATTTTAATTAATGTTACAGTCATGGTACATAAATATACTGGGTATATCTGTCTCTATATCTATATGTTTGTGAATATACATGTAGTGCAGTGTGTATGTATATACACATGCAGCAGAGTACAGAGGTGTGTATATATATTCTCAAGAATGTGTATATATGCATAAATACATCACACACACACACACACACACACACAATGTGGCATATACATACACATATATACAGCAGCAGCAGCGATGGATGCAACAGAAATAGAGAGGTTAGACAAAATATAATATAGATATCTATTTTAAACAGAAAATATTGGCTCTGCACAAATTTCAAATGAGCTTGACCTAAGACATAATATGAGCTTCTGGAAGATCATTGAGCTAACGTGAAATATCTGTGGTTTGTTTAGTTTAACAAATTTATCTTTGTGTGTATAATCTTTGTTATTACAATTTAGAAGGAAAATAGACTATCGGCTGAAAATACTCAGTTTAGTGGTTTATGGATCAGCTGAAGAGGCTAAGGAATCACCAATGACTTTTAGATGGAGGGCATGGGATTTTCAAGAAAACGCAGCAGTACATCCCTGGAAAGAGATCAACTGAAACTTCATTTTGTTTCTTCTTCTCTATTCAAGTTACAGGGAGTGATTTTGAAAGAGTCGCCCTACGCAGCTCTCCCTGCCTAAGCTCTCATCAAGGCCCCATTGCTATTGCAAGCAGACAGGTCAGTGAAGCAGAAGCAAAAGCTATGCTTCACACTCACAGAGCTGTACCTCTTCACAGTACAATCTATTTAAGCTTTGTTGCTCATAACTGAGGACAGCTTCAGATGGCACAGCTGCACACTCTTTACACTGTAAAGTCATTGTTCAGTTGTGTGAACTCCTGCCTCCCTCCCATTTAAAAAAAAAAATCCACATACAAACCTTGGTTCATTAAGGGTGAAGAGAGCCTGGTGCTCATTAGCAAGCTTGGGAACCAAATCTCTTTGAACTTTCTGCATTTCACTACAATTAAACTTCGGACTGCAGTTACAGTGACAGGAATGCTATATATAACCCCAATACAAACCATAACAGAACAGAAAAGTTCAACAAATGGAGGCAAGGTTCAAATCACCCATTAATTCTTATTCATACATGCTTTGGGGTAAGGGCACTGAGGCTTCAGTTCCAGAGATGTTTTTGCCCCTTTGCAGTCATCCAGATATATGCCAAAAGCTCTGAAGATTTTAAAAACGCACTGACCTCATCACAAGTCTTAATTTTCAGGTCTACTGTGCTGATGATCTTGGTTCAACTAAAGTTCACTTTGCCACTGTCTAATTCAGTTATAACTATCCATCAAATGCCAGAAATACATGCTGTGCCTGTTAAAAATTAAAGACCTGTTGATTTGACATGGGTGCAATGATAACCCGCCACTCTCACATCAACCACAGTCACACAGCACACAAAAGATGAAAGCATATTCTGCAGATGAAGAACAGTGTCTCTTTTCTTTTCTTCATTCACTGTTCCATGACAGATCCAGATGATCAAAACCTCATTCATGCTGTTTGAATTCATTCCCACACCACAACGGAATATCTCATCACCCATTTATCCTGTATTTTATATGATGAACTGAAAATAAGAGAAGGGGATTTATGGTTGGCAGAAGCCAAGGTTTTAAGCCAGCAAACCTAATTGTTACTTCTATACTGGCATTTCAGTGAAAACACACTGACCTTCAGCGTTTCTTTCTTATAATTGTTTAGGATTTGGGGCTTCTTCCATGCTTCCTTTTATATATGGAAATCCCGCTGGCTCAGTGTGTGGCAGGTGACGTCCTTATCTCTGTTCAGTTGCCTCCTTGAAACAAATGGCTTTTAATGATAGTCAACTACAGATAAACAAGGAGGTATATGCACCACTGATCCAAAGGCTGGAGCTTACCCAGTGCTTCAGAAAGGTGTTTATAGACTATTTTGTCCAAGTCTGATGTAGGATCAGATTCTGATACCTTTATTCACACTGAATGGTAAGTTTCAGAGTAGCAACCGTGTTAGTCTGTATTCGCAAAAAGAAAAAGGAGTACTAGTGGCACTTTAGAGACTAACCAATTTATTTGGGCATAAGCTTTCGTGAGCTACAGCTCACTTAATCAGATGCATTCCACTGAATGCATCCACTGAAGTGAGCTGTAGCTCACGAAAGCTTATGCCCAAATAAATTGGTTAGTCTCTAAGGTGCCACTAGTATCCTTTTCTTTTTACTGAATGGTAACTTACTCCTTGAGTAGCACTACTCCGTGAGAGTAAGGGCATCAAAATCTGGCCTTAGAGACCTGTCTTCCTGTTTGTTCAGAATTGAACACACCGAGGGAGCTCAATAAATGATATATGTCCCCTTGTACCAAATATTGCTAAAACCTCTAGCAAAATCATCTGCACCTCCTCTCCTTTGTAGCTACCAATGACATTTACTTTTAATAACACTGCATTTTTCATTACCACTGCCTCTGTAACTGAACCAAAAACTAATGTAAGCTGTAAGAGGGACAGAGTATGCTAAAGACAATCCAAATAGGAGTATCTAACCAACTACAATCCTGCTATTACTTTACTATTACAATCCTTCTATTGTATTTTTAAACAATTCAGTGCAGGTCATGTTAGCAATCCATCCACAAAGTCTCTTAAAACCCAATGCCATTTTTCTCAAATTTTCATGTATGAACTTTCACTTTCATGAGCTTTCTGGAAAACTTCTAACCACTTGAAATTGGAAGACTGCACTTTAATACCAATAGAAAAAAAAAAACCCAAAAAACCCACCCCATATGCCAAGTGTATTATCATAGAAACAAAAATTCAGTATAAATGATTTATAATAGATTCTGTTGTGGCTTTACAAAGCTGTAGTTTGTAAAATTACTGCCACCCAACCAGTGCAGGAAAAACAGCAAAAGTGGAAAGAACTTGGAATATATAATTTGGTAATTTCAAAAACTTTAGAATTACAGGCATAAAAATATTATTGCAATGAGAAATACTAAGTTCAACTCACAAGAAGTAATTTTAGCAATCGACAACAGTGAAATAGCAAATGCTAAAACATTAATATTATTTCTAGCTGGGAAACCTACTTCAATAAGAACTGAATGTAGACCTGGTTTGACATGAGTAATTGGACATGGGTGAGGTCTCACTTTTTGGGAGACAGGATTAGGATCAGCAGGCTAAAAATAGAATGTTTGTTCTAGCTAAGATAAGAGGGAACCATTTACAAATGTCCAATGGATAAATTGGGAACAATGGATAAATTGGGAATGTAAAGATGAGGTAAACAGTAAGTTGTGCATGGACAGAGCATGCTGCACAGAGATTAGTTCCTACAAAGTAACCAAGCCAATCCCAAAACATGTGATGCAACGTATAATAAATGCAATGTGATGTATGAATGTATATAAAAGGAAAAGGTTTGCTGTGGCTATGTGGTATGCCCTATGCTCAACCACTACGCTTGAATCTGATACTCAGCAGTGTAGCTTTGCTGTATACCAGTGGCTCTCATCCTGGAGGACTGTGAGCAAGTTTCAGGAGGTCCGCCAGCAGGGCCAGTGTTAGACTCGCTAGGGTCCAGGGCAGAAAACCGAAGCCCCATCTCATGGGGCTGAAGCCTGGAACCCTGGGCAATGTAGCTTTGCGAGAGCCCCTGTAGCATGGGGCCCCAGGCAATTGCCCTGCTTGCTACTCCTAATGCCAGCCCCGGCTTTTTTGTGCAGAAAACTAGATATTGTGGCACAAGTGGTCCATGGAGTTTTTATAGAATGTTGGGGAGTGGGGCCTCAGAAAGAAAGAGGTTGAGAACCCCTGTTGTATACCAAATAAAGGATCCTGTGTGATGAGATTGGAGTCAGACTGAATTCTTGGGAACCTGAATGGAAGAAACCTCAGGGGAAACAGAACATTTGGAAGTCTGAATCTCCTCTCACAGAAATGCAGTGTATGAAATATGCTGGAAATAGAATGTTGGCCCTTAAAGGGTGAAATGTCACTGAAATCAGTGACAAAACTCCCTTCCTATGATTTCAATGGGCCAGGATTTGACCCATTGTTTTAAGACAAATTGAAGAACTTTGAGTTGGTGATAACTCCTTTTAATTCCATGAGGAGAGCATCCTCAAGCTCCCTAGAAAAAAAGAAAGAGAAATGGACAATTTAAACTGAAATTTGACTAATTTACTTTAACTCGCAAGTGTCAAGTACGAGCGGAGTACAGTGGAAAATTCTTCCTTTATATGATTGTTTCATTACTATTATGATCTGCAATATGATTTTATTACTATGTTTACTTTATTATTTCTATGCTTTATCTTTTTATTTAAGTGCAATTTAAACACACAGAGCAGGGGTATTATGATAAAAGAAAAAACAGAAGTCCAAGAAGAATGTGTCTTTGAACTGTATATTATTAGTTGGATATGAATGAAATGCATGAATATAAAGAGCTACATTTAGAGAGAAAATGTTCATAGTGGAAAATCATATCTTTTTAAAACTCACAATTCTATACATCTATTTTTGGTCAAAAAGCCTAACACTTCTTCATTGACAATA